GGTATTCAAGGCAGAGGGAGCAGTGAGTAGAAAGGTACTACAGAGTATAGGACAGACTTGGGAACTGGTTTATAACCCAGTTCAGCCAGAATACAGGTAAAATGAAAGAGAAGAGCAGACAATCAATAGGGGAAATAGGTTGAGGATCTTGACCAGTAGAGTTCTTACATGAGAATGAATGATTTCTTAAAGTAAATGGCGTGCTTTTGAATCTAAAAGACTGAACATAGTACAAACAAGTGTGGACTTTAAAAGACATTCTGAGTTAATGTAGTACTAGCTGCACCATTTAGAGTATGTTAAGAGGAAAGATTTTAGGCCGTTAGGGGATTAGTTAGGCGGCCTCCATAATCTAGGCAAGAATTAGGAGGTTGAGGATCTTGACCAGTAGAGTTCTTACATGAGGATCAATAGGGGAAATAGGTTGAGGATCTTGACCAGTAGAGTTCTTACATGAGAATGAATGATTTCTTAAAGTAAATGGCGTGCTTTTGAATCTAAAAGACTGAACATAGTACAAACAAGTGTGGACTTTAAAAGACATTCTGAGTTAATGTAGTACTAGCTGCACCATTTAGAGTATGTTAAGAGGAAAGATTTTAGGCCGTTAGGGGATTAGTTAGGCGGCCTCCATAATCTAGGCAAGAATTAGGACTAAACCAGTGAGAAAGAAAGTAGGGACAAATATAACAAACATTTCAGAGGTAGAGCTGACAGTTGAGTTGGGGGAAAGGAAGAGGTCTAGAATAAATCAGGAGTTTTAAACTTATGTGACTGGCATATCGATAGGTAATATTGATAGAAAAAGGAATGAGAAAAGGAAGAGTGGATTTTTAATGATGGTGACAAAGAAGTATATAGCATTGTGGGAGGTGTGTGGTTGAGAAGTACATGTTCTAAAAGTAGTAATTTTCAAACTTTTTAATTTTATTTTTATTGAGATATAATATACGTACAGTAGATTTCTCCCCCTTTAGTGTTTAGTTCTAGGAATTTTGACAAGTACACACATTCGTGTAACCAGTACCACAATTAAGAACAGTTTTGTCACCCGCCTTATAACCACTGATCTTTTTTATGTCCCTCTGGTTAAAACTATGTTTTAAAAAGGTCCTAGGGACCACCACAGACTAGAGTTGGATGATCAAGAGGCCTGAGCACCAGGCTCCCAGACTTTGTTCTCACCTCATCTAGACGGGTTTCACTTTTCTGCTTTCTGTTTTATGTATTGGCATCCTACTAAATATTTACTTAATATTTGCTGTGGGGTGGGGAAAAATTACATAGCTAAATATTGAAAACTATTATTCTGCAGTGCTACTGATAGAACTCTGTCTGAGTGACTGTTATCTCTGACTTGGTTTGTCATAGTAGCATCTAAGAGGTTTCTCTGCTTTGACCTTTACCCCCTACTCTTCTCAACATAGCTGTCAGCATGATTCCTTTACAATATAGATCAGATCATGTCGTTCTTCTCAAAATCTTATAATGGCTCCTCCTCTGGTAGGAATAAAGGCAACTCTTGAAAAATGACCTAGAAAGACCTGCATTCTCTTGGTCCCCCCTGTTAATTCACCAGTCTACTCTCTTTCTACTCCCCTCTGTGCTCACACTATCTGTGCTAGTGACACTGGCCGCCTTTCTGTTCCTCAAACAGATCAGCCAGGTGCTCACTTTAAGACGTTTGTCTTACCTTTTTTAAAAAATTGAGGTAAAATTCACATAACAAAACTAACCACTTTATAGTGTGCAACTTATAGCATTTGGTATATTAATAATATGCAACCATCACCTCTGTCTTGTTCCAAACATTTTCATCAACTTCAAATGAGACCATGTACCCATTAAGCAGTTCCTTCCCATTCTCCATCTCCACTCCTTTCTTTCTCTAGCCTCTTCTCTCCTCCTTCCCCACCCCTGGCAACCACATACAGCATGTGACCTTTTATGTCTGGCTTTTTACACTTTCACATCATGTTTTCAGGGTTCATCTACATCGTAGCATGTACCAGTACTTCATTCCTTTTTGTGGCTAAATAATATTCCATTGTGGATATACCATATTTTGTTTATCCATTCATTTTTTCATGAACATTTGGATTATTTCTACCTTTCGGCTATTGTGAGAGTGCTGCTATGAACATTCATGTACAAGTATTTGAATACATGTTTTCATTTCTCTTGGGTATATACCTAATAGTGAAATTAGGTCATGTGGTAATTCTACATTTAACTTTTTGAGGAACCGCCAAACTTTTTTCCATAGCAGCTGAACCATTTTACATTCCTACCAGCATGGACCTTGGTTTTTACATTTTCATCTCCTTCCAGCTTTCATTCAGACTTCACCTTCTCAATGAGATCTACCCAGACCACCGTATTTAACCATGTATCCTGCTCTCATCCCCACCCCTGACTCATTAATATTCTTCTTCTTATCCTACTTGCATATTTCCCTAATGTGGTCTCTTTTTTAGGCACATGCTTAATATTTCATTGTACTTACTACTTCCTACACATAGAAACTCCTACTCTTACTCTTCCCTAAATCATAGGACCTGCTCATCTCAACAGTCCATCAAACACCTGTCATTGCAAGAGTATATATAGTTAATTTTAGAAAAAGTAAATTTCATACGTTCTTTAAAACTTAGTGTACAGCGATTGAGAACCTTCTTTATCATCAGCTGAATAACAAGGCTGTAGCTTCATAATTTGGAATTATTTTGTTGATTGGGTTTCTATCAAAGGCTTCTCACAAGTATAGGAATTATACACGGTTTTCTTACTTTAAAAATGCTCTTTGTATTTTTCAGCCGAATAGCATTTATCTATATTGAATTTGAATAGCATCCTAAAATGTGTTTTTGTTAAAAGTGGCCAAAGAAGTTCCTTTTGCCTGTAACACAACTGGATGATTGTCTCTAACCTGTTTTCCTAAGTCTCTCTTCAATTAAGGAAATAGAAAGAGATTGCATCTTTAAAGAGATTTATTCACAGCAAACCTTGTAGAACAGTAAGACTAGGTATAATCTCATGAAACATAAGGCTTCAGGCTGGTGTCTAGTCTCAAGTGTTCTACTGTATCCCCGTACCCACCTTCAGATGTGGTTGGAGCAGCAGGAGGGGGATTAGCTTTCACCTTTAGTTTGTAACTTCCTTTTAACTAGGTTTCCTGGCACAAATGCCATTATTCTTAGAAACTCAACATTTGATTTGCTCATTTTCTTTTACATTTTTTCCATGTGCTTTCTTATTTTTAACTCAGGTTTAAGAAGCAGTCGAGACCATTGTTTTTCCAAAAACATTCAGTGCTCTTGTCAGTTCGCTGAAGCTCTGGATAGTCTCAGTAGTATAATGATACCCATGGATATTAGGCAGGAACATTTTTAAATATTTTGAGGTTCTGAAGTAAGAGATAAAAGGTTTGATTGTGGTGTTTGATGTCCTTCCTGTTAAAAATCCAAGTCTCAAAATAGGACTTAAAGATAATGTATTTTATGAAAAGGGAACAGAACTGATAGAGAAAAAAGTTAAAGAAAATTCAGCACATTTTGGAAACAGAAGACAAGGCCAAAGACTGATGAGTACCTCCCCAGTAGGAAACATGGTCTAGGCTGTAGTCTCCTTTCTGGATAACAAGAGAAGCAGGAACTGGTGGGCCCATTCCTTCAAAGATATTTATAACATATTGACAAGGCTCCCCTGCCCCACTTAATAGAGAATACTTAATCAGAAAAAGAAAACTGTCTTATCATTTTTTAAAGTTCATTTCATGGTTCTAGTATCTTTTTCATACTGTTTGTGTATCTAATGTTTTTAAATGCAGCAGTGGATTGAGAGGGGAGAGATAGCAGGTAGAATTAATCTCTTTGTTCTCTTTGTTCCCATAGATTCTTCATAATTTTGTCTCGGAATCTATTTGTGCTCATTTCTGACTCTTTCACTAGTAAGCTCTCTGCAGACACAGATCAATTGATAATCCTCATATCTTCTCATAATACCTTGCACATAGTAGGCCCACACTAAGACTGGAATGAAAGAAAATAACAGAGGGCTTTCACAAAGCACTTAAGAAAATTAATTCTTATAATACACTAAAATCTCCTTAAACACTCCAATTATCATGATCCTGGGGGTAATTATATAGAAATTTGGGTTTTATGTTGTTATTGCTTTTTTGTCTGTAGGACACAGACTAAAGTTTTAGTTGTTTAAGTTTGATGAGATGAGTTACAGGAAACACGAAATGTGATGCACTGTGACTGTTTTTCTTGAGTGATCTTTCTTTAACAGAAGCAGACCTTGGGAAGATTTGTTTCAAGATAGCCGTATACTAATAGGTAAAAACAGAAATGACTATGAAAACCAGATGTTGTGTCTGGGCCTCGCTTCAGAAACAGGGTTTCAGTGTCGGCATATTTCATTTTTCGCTTGTTTACCCACACTGATTAAAGGGCATTTATCTAGTGGTGTGCACAATTGCTGAGTGCAGTACTCATTTGCATGCTCTTACCATCATGGTTTCTACACAACATGATATTTCTGTTGGCAATTTAAGTTTATTACTTTAGAAATTGTCATATTGGAAATCCAAGATGTGAGCAATATTTATTTTTATTTAAAATTACTAGGGAGATTTGTTAGACAATACCTCGTTTCCTGACATTGGCAAGAGGCTTTACAGAGTTTCTCCCTAATTTTCAGGGACATATTTGTATTACATGTACATCTTAACTTGTTATTATTGTAGGATTTTATTTGCTTTAACTTAGGAAATTTTAGGCTTATTTTATTTTGTCTTTACAGGACTCTAATTTCTTCTCCTTTGAAAATATCCAAAAGACCTTATTTGTGGTTCTGATCCTAGACTGATTTGTTTGGTTTTAGAACATAAACCATTTAAATAAAGAGAAAGAAAGAATTGATGATATAGTTTAATTTTATTCTGTTTTAATACTGTGTAGCCTAACTCATGTCGTGGTGCATCTTTCCCACAGGTTCACATCCAGCTTTCAGAGTGGCACCGTGCCATTTTTCTCCCACAGGCGTGGCTGGTATATATGAATCGAGCTTATCATGCCATTTTACAGGTAATGAAACCATAGGATGGTTTGCTTCAGGGGAGTGTCTCCTCCTCATCTCAAATTTTACTCCAAAATGTATTTAATATTATAAGCACTTAGGAAAATAGCACTGTTAAAAATTCAATGGTTATATTTGCTCATAAAAGAATGTGAGGCATAAATATATATAACTGCACTTAAACTTTAAATGTCGATGCCCCCATCCAACCTGTGTCCCATCCAGAGCTCCCTCTTGAGCACTATTCTCCTACACCTCGCTACCTTCTGAACATCTTCCAGATGTCCCACATGTCTCCCTTGGATGTCACACAGCACCTTGACTTGAGCGTATCACAAACTGAGCTCGTCTGCCCTTGTACCTATGTCTCCTCAAGCTAAACTTGCTTACAACTCTAGCCTTATCTCATAACACTTCCTCTGAATTTCATATTCCAGGCTTGCTAAATTTCTTTTTTTTCCAAATTCAGCATGTCTCTCGTAACCTCTTGACGTTTACACACTTTTCCTTCTGGTGTAGGTACTGCCATTCCCTCTTTGCCCACCTAATTTCTACTTGTTCTTTAAATCATTTTATCTGGAAAGGCTCCTGTGTGCCCCAACCCACACACTAAATTGTATACCACTCTTATGTGCTTCCTTAGAACCCATGCTTTTCTTTTTGAAGCCCTGTCAACTTAGTTATTTGTCTGGGGCCTCCCTCCAGTTGTCTGTGTTCCCTAAAGCCAGGAGCTCTGTTTTTCTTCTCTGTTGTCTTTCTAGACCCTGACATAGTGTCTAAAACATGATAGGCGCTCACTAAATAAATGAATTATACTCAATGTGACTTCATTTAATCCAATAATGTCATAAATTATACTTCGTAAATTTTTTTAAATTAGAAATGATTTTTAATCAGTTTGGGAATATATGAACAGTTAACAATATAAGAAAACAACTAACAATTTTTTTCCTAGCTTAAAATTCATTTTTAAGAATGATGGAAAAAAAATTTGATGGCACTTAAGTAATTTATGTCCCAGAATAAAGGTAACAGCTGTCCTAAAAGATGATGGTGCTAGGGAAGGCGGGTGGGAGGAATAACCAAGCATCTAAGCATTGGTGTTCTCGTCTTAAAACCTTGTTGCCACATATTTTATTGAGTCTAGAATTTATAAGGTATTGATGCATCTTCAGAGATTTTTGATTCATTAGAACTGAGTAGGGGATCAGGAATCTTCACGTTTACCAAACTGCCAGGTGATTTTAATGCAGTTAGTGTGTCAGCCACGCTCTGAACATCAGTGTTTTAGATGGTTCCTCAAACCATGCTGGAATCCACGTTTTAAAGATGTTTCATTGGAACCAGTTTCCTTTTGCTCAGCCTACCTGCCTTTTTACCCTCAGCTGCATCTTGACACTCAGTTTTAAATAGATTCATGAGTGAATACATTACTCATACACACCCTTTTTATTCAAGAAGAGTGAGATTGCAAGTCAAAGTATGTACTTTTCCTCACATTTTTCCCTGAATAATTTTGCAGTGTTTTTCTTCACCAACCATTTGTGGAGTACTTTTTACTGGCCAGGCTAGGTGCCGGGTGTGTGGGACACAAAGAGACGTAAACCACTACTTCCTCTCAATGAGCTCCCAGTCTATCGCGAGAGACTAACATGTCCACTAGCATTTCCAGTACAACATCTGTGATGTTTTAGTAGAGGATGTACAAAGTACTACTACGGGCACCTGGAAAAAGCAAGAAGAGCTCCTCCTACAGAATGATCTGAGAACTGTATTTTGCTCTTAGCATAAGAGAGGCTGAATTGGAACAGGATTATGGTATAACTCATACAGGTGACTTGCAATCGATTAAAAAGAAACTTCCATGGTTTTTATAATAAGAGCTACCGTTTATTGAATAATGAGTGTGTGTCCAACACTTAATATATATTATTTCAGTTAGTCTTTACAGAAACCCTTTGAAGTGGGTATCGTTAAACCCATGTATAATGGGATTATAGATCGGGAAGCAGGGTTAGCTAAGAAAGCAAAACAAATGGTGCAAAACCCACCAGTCAATTAAAGAACTGGAACTTAACTGGAATAGCTTTGACTCCAGAACCTCAGCCTTTTCCACGGTCTCATGCCTTCTTCCTAACACATAATGTTGCACATTAGTTGTAACAATAAATAATGCAAATTGCTTTAATATTATAAAGGACATATTGATTTTTGAAAGTCCAGCTGAGTACTTTTAGTAATGCATGTCAATTATTCTGCCTTTCTGCTGTTGTGGTAGTGTACATATTTATCATTTAAAATGTCTTTATTTTGAGTCTAAGGCCATGACACCCTAAACGTGCCTGGTCTCGTCTGATCTCGGAAGCTAAGCAGGGTCAGGCCTGGTTAGTACTAGGATGGGAGACTACCTAGGAAGACCAGGTGCTGTAGGCATTTAAAAAAAAAAAATAGGGATTATAAAATGTCTTTACTTTGGATTTTGAATAAATTTGGTTCCATTGAGAATCGGTGACAAAAGAAGTGAAAAAGTATAGAGTATAATAAGATTTTCAGTATTATTTGAATGTACAACTATGTTTATAAGGTTATTGCTATTACTTGAAGGTACACAAGTGCATTTTAACTGTTCAACAAGTTTTTAAAATGAGTCCATACTTAGAATTTATGGTATTTTAGAAGAATTAGAGCAACTGCCAGACTCCTCGTTTCCATCAAGAATTTCTGTCCTGGAGGATACATTTTCTGTACAGGAGTTATAGTTACTTCCATCTGGTGCTAGATGTATTTTGTAGCATTAAATTTGAGGACCGTTGAGAGGAGCCATGTTTTATTCAATTAAACATAGGAGATATGCTAAAAGGTACATTTTAGATTATTTCCTGGAAGTTGATTATGATATGAATACGTTTCAGATCTGAACACTACTAGTGGCTTTTGCTTAGGCATCTGCTTCCAGCCTTATCTAATTTTTCCACAAAGATGTTGGATTTTGAATTATAAGCATATCAAAGTGGTTGACATGGGGAGGAATTTGGATTTCTTCCTATTAAGATGAAAGTGCAGATACAAGTTGATTGACAGTTCAGAGTCCATAAAGGATTCCTCTGCAGCCATCTTTACCTTGCTGCCCTTGTGGAATGCTGAGGAGTTAGTCTGCAGCTTTTGTGTAAAGGGCTCTTAGGGGTTGTGAATAAGACCTCAAACAGGAGAGAATTAAAGCAGGTTGACTACAGACACTTGTTTCCTGTGTCGGTCAGCTAGCTGCAAAATAATCTGAAATCAAAACCGGGGTCAGGAACTATGACCCCTAGTAAATTACTCTCTGACCATTTGTGAGGGTTGTTTGTTTATTTGTTTGTTTTTCATGTGTAGGTTTGGAGCGAGGTAAAATTGCTCACTGTAATCAGCAAGCTCTTGGTTACATAGGCTGGAGAGTAATAAAGAAGAAGAAAAAAAAAGAAGAGGGATAGGTAGATTAATCACTGGAATCTATGGGCAGTCCAAAACTCTCAATTCAGGTGATCATTTCAGCCTTTTCTCTCCCCATGAGTGTTTTTCCCCCTTAACCACAGCTGTTAAACAGAAGCAGAAGCAACTGAGTTAAATGGTATTGGCTCTCTAATACCAGTAAGCAGAGAACTGGAAGGCAAAGTGGATCTGGATAAGTAACCTACCATGGACTGGATGGAAGGGGTTGAAAGGACATTCCAGAAGAGAGGATTGAGAGAAGCAGAGACTCTGAGAAAGAAAAAAATAAGAAATTTACTTGGTCACATAGAATGGTTATAACTGGTTTATGGCTGTAGGAGAAATTAGAAAAGTAGGCCTTTTCAAAAGACTGCATGTATACAACCTTTTTTGTATTTTGTTTATTTCTAACCATATTTTAACCTTTTAGTTCCCTGTTCCTTGTCTTTTTTTTGGAAAAGCATTATGGAAAATAAATGTTTTAAGAGTATAGAGACATAATTTAAGAAGCATAAACAAAGTCAGGCAATAAAAATTATTTTCTATTTTGCCTGCCCTCCTGGGAGGGCAATATCAATATTAAATGTTAATATCAATATCTTACCATTTTGATCACCTTTGATACCTTGTTCCAAAAGACAGAGGGGAGAATGAACGGGCCAGGATTGTATCTCTGAAAACAGGGAGGTGAGGATGGATATGATTGAAGTAAGCAGAAGCTAATAAAGGATGTGAGTAGAATGCCCATCAAATCTCAGAGCACCTGAACTGTTGAGCCCCTGGGAATTGTGTGCAGGAGGTTATGCTGCATATGAGGACACCTTAGACTGACGAAACAATCCTTGCCTTCAATGAGCTCACAGACTAGGAACCGAGAATATATGAGAGAAATACAAGAAAATGCAATTGTATACCAGATATTACATTTTGGGGGATCTTTTACTTTACAAACATATACAGGTGAAAATATGAATTATTTCAAGAAGGATTTTGATGTATTCTTGAAGAACATTTCATAAGAATATAATAACCAGAGGTAGGATTTTTTTGTTGTTATTTACAAAGAACTTCATAATAATAGCTATTATTTGTTATCAAGCACTGTATTACATGGACACTTTTCCACATTATTTAATATGATGTTCTGATATCATGAGATAGTTTGAATTTGATTCCAGAACCCATATACTTAACCCATCAAGCTGTATTGCTTCCTCTCTACAGTATATATAGAGAGAGACACTTTTCTTTTGTAGAACATACTTTAGAACTCTTCAATCGATAAGAAAAAGACAACCAATAGAAAAATGGACAGAATAGGAAACAAAAATAGTCAATAAACATTTGAAAAGATGCTCAATTTCATTAGTAAATAGAAATGAAAACTAATCTGTAAGAATGGTAAAAATTAAAAAGCCAGACAATTCTAAATGTTGGTGAAGATGTGAAGTAACTAGAACTCCTATTTACTTCTAGTGAGAATGTAAGCTCTGCAACCACTTCTGAAAATGATTTGGTATTGCTCAGTTAATTCGATATGCAATCTAAGTTCTTGTCTAATTTAGAGTTCATCAATAAACCAGTATTTTAATACATTTAAATAATGTAATTGGTGATGTAGTGAGGGGAAAACATCTGATCAAAATAAACCTGAGTGTAAAAGAAAAACAATAATAAATATTTGAAGGCCTTTGTCTTAAAGGAATGCTATTAGGTAATATTTTTTATTACATGGTACAGGTTGAGAATTATGATACTTATTTTTAGATGGTCACTCGAGAGAGAAATATAATGTGTAGCTGCTTGAGCTTAACTTTTGTTATATAGTACTAGAATTTTAAGTGATATATAATTTTACATATTTGTTATCATTCTGTTATAATATTGGTACTCAGACCCTAATCTTGGGATGGATCAGTTAAAATTATCAGCTGCTGATGCAGGCAGATCATTACAATATAGGGAATTTTTTTTTTTTAATGGGACCTGTGAAATTAAAATCTGCTTTTAATAGATACCCCCCAAATGAAGAGCTTGGCACTAAATTTGCCAGATACACAGCTTCTCCAGAATATACTTATTTGGTGAATGTAGAAATACCTGAGCAGTAAAGTAATTATCTCTCCTCACGAGTCCTCTTTCATAATCTCATATCTTATCAGGAACACTTATGCCAACTGGGAAAGGATACATCTGTTCTCTAAGTGTTTTCCAAAGAAATTTTAAGATAATTTTGGCTACTGAGTTTGCGGATTTATGCTGCGTTTTTTTTTGCAGGGAAGAATAGGAGAGCTGGAGTTGCAGTTAAAACATGGAAAAGAAGGAGCTGAGGAGGTGCAATACAAAAAAAGCACAGCCTGGCTCTGGTAAGGGGACAGGTTCATGGTGTCGTGGGAAATGAACCATGAGGGAGGAGGTGACTACTTTAAAGGCTTTAATGATGGCAATTTTAACTTCCATATGAGCTTGAAAGGGAAACGACTAAAGATCTGATAGTTATATTTTCCATCCCATCCTCAGGTATTATAAGAAGGAGAGCTTTATTCATAAATTTTATATTTTTTATTATTCTCTAAAGCAGTGTAGAGATGATTTGTTTTTCCTTATAACTGATTATTTTATACACTTTGAATGAAAAATTCTGTTTTTCCCACTCAATTCCTTGTCGATCTAACCCACATTTAGTGAAGAACTACCCTTCCACTCCTCTGCCCCCGTCTTCCCAAGACATCTTCATTATTAGGAGCAACTTTACCATGTCAGGGCTTTAATTTCTTTGGCAGACATCCCCTAGTGAATTCACATTACATTATCTATAAATGTATAAGTGCTGGCACATTAAAAGCAATCTAAATTGTTACATGGGTTGGGATGAATACTTTGTCAGATTAAGGTTGCAGCAACCTAAATCTAAGTGTCCAGAATCCAAATAGCTTTGCCTGCAGTCTCAGCTTTCTTTAATCTAAAAATCTGTTCAAAGGTTATTTGATTTAGATTTTTATTTACTGACAATTGACATGTGTAGAAAAGCAGAAGCTGTGTATATGTGTTTAACTAATTCTATTCTAAGTTTTTTCTACATTTATTTAAAAAAATAGCAATGAGGTTTAAACAGTGTGACATTGGATTTAAGATTAGTATAGTTTCAGTTTTATCTTAATTACATGTAGTTTTTAATTCCCTCTTCTGAAAGTGATCATTTGATGGAGGTGGTATGTTGGTCATACTTTCCAAAATATATATAGAGATACATGGAATGAAGGATGTGAGAAAAAGATAGAAGTCAAGGACAGTGTCAATATTCTAACTCTGAATATCTTAATAACAAAAAGTATGGAGTTCCCACTTACTAAGATGGGGAAAAGACTATAGAAAAGCAGGTCTGTGTAAGTTAGGAATCAGGTTTGGACTTGCTAAGGACTTGCTAAGTCTGAGATACCTAATTAGACCTCTAACTGGAGATATCAAGTAGGTTGTTGATCATATGAGTCTAGAGTTCAGGAGTGAAGTCAGGGCTGGAAATATAAATTTGGGAATCTTCAGCATATTTACTGCCTTTAAAATTATGGTGCTGAATGAGATTGCCTAGGGAGTGAGTAAAGATAGAGAAAGAGTCAGACAACTGAGCCCCAGAGCACTTCAACATTTAGAAGTGGGGAAGATGAAGAAAACCAATAAAGCACACAGAAAATTGGTGATTAGTGATGCAGGAAGAAAACCAAGAGAGAATGGAAGGAAAGTGTTTTAAGGAAGGAGTAACTAACTGTGTCAAATGTTGCCATGAGGCTGCAAAAGATGGAGACTGAGAATTGGCAATTGGATTTGGCCTCTTGAAAATCATTGGTGACCATGGTAAGAGCTGTTCCAGTGGAGTTATGGCAACAAAACTCAGATTATAGAGGAGTCTAGAGAGAGTAGAAGACGAACTAAAGTTATTAAGTATAGGCTACTCTTTTAAATGAGTTCTGATGTATGAGAAGCAATGAAATGGTGCAATAGCTGGAGGGCTTTTTCTTACTTTAAGATGGTAGATATTACAGTATGTTCATATTGTAAGGAGGGTAATACAAGTAGAAATGGAAAAATTGGTAATGCAGCTGACAGAAGAGAGTAGGTAAAGAGGAGGGAACTATTTCACAAGTGGAAAGTTTGACCCTACCAAGAAGTATAGGCAGGTCATCATTTATAAATAATTCCACATTGACCAATAAAAGAATACATTAAATGCACTATACTCCACCTAGGAAGACTGAGATTGGATAATACACCTTAGAGAAATTTATCGTCAAATGGTTTTATAAAATACAAATTTAAGATCTGTAGGAGCAGTTTGCAACTATCTGAAATACTTAACTCTTAAGGATAGCTTATTCTCAGAGAGTGCTGAAAAACTAAAATTTTATTATATATATTTATATATGCATAATAACATATTTGCAAAAATATTATAAAAACTTTGAATTTATGAAACTCCAAGTGTATAGTGAAGATGTCTGTGATATCCTATTCAGAATGTCAGTTTAGCAGCCAATGATTGTTTTTCACTTTATCTCAAGTCCTATAGTGAAAAAATTTTTTATTCTGTGAATATTTGAATCGTGCATACCTTCCTTCAAATCCACAAGAGCAATTATTTTAGCTTCAGAGTAATTTTATAACTAACGTTTTTAGTTTTACATAAATACATAAAGACTATTCCATTATCTACCATTTGGAAATAGTAAATAGCTGTTTTGGTGAGCTCTTGTGCAAGAAAGAGCAACAGAGAGTAGGGAGAGAGAGGAAGGAAAGGAGATAAGGAGGGAGATAGAACATTCTCTGGAATTTCTTTTTAAGGGCACTAATGCCACTCAAGAGGGCTCCACCTTCACCACCTGCCAAAAGCCCCACCTCCAGATACCACACATTGAGAGTTAAGATTTCAACATATGAATTTTGGAGGAGGTGGGCACAAACATTCAGACCACAGCAGAGAATAATATAAAGGACACATATACCCACCAATCATTTTAAGAGATGACACAATTATGACACTGCCTGTACATCTCTCCTCAGTTGTGTACAGCTTGTTCTCCACCTAAATGACCTAAGGAATAGGAAGATGAAACTTTCTTTGAAGCAAAGTCCTTTCTACAGTTTTTAAGCCTTACACTAAAATTCTACATATGTAGTTTTTATATCTGGGGTCATCGATAGAGATTTTTATTAATTGATAAATAAGCAAAAAGATTAGGTTCTTGCTCTAACATAAACTCTAATACCTGTTTTCTTTTCATCGTTATTGCAGGGTCCGAGACATGTTGACTGATGAGATCACAAAGGCAGCTGCAAAGTAAGGTCCATTTATTCTCTTGCCAAAAATTTTCTATAAACATTTTTTTCCTGGCAGGTACATACAATTTCTCCTTTTAGGGTATTTCATAACTTAAGAATATATATAACTTCAATTATTTTTTAAAATTCATTCGTTGTTCTTTCTCATACTAATTCCTACTACATGTCTTTTTGTGAAAATACAGAGTAATCAGTATAAACACATACTTTCACATCACGAGTCTACTGAAGTCATGTCCTTGTTTTATACATAACAAAATGCCCCATGCTGACTTAGATTTTTGAAATTCTAATTTAGTTGGGGGAGAGGGTAGAAATCCTTGCTCATGCGAATTTTATGGGTACAAAAAACAGATTATTAACTCTCAGCTAAGGGCCAGCAAATAAATCAAAGTATTGCATCCTTTTATTTCCTTTGTTATTGGATCCAGGGTATCTAAAAATTGAATTTTTAAACATTAGAAACTATGGTGAAAATTCAGTAAAAAGGGAATTTCAGTCATATCCTTATGGTTGTTTGACCAAAAATAACTTGAGCATTACTACCTTGAGGCTTTTTATACTACACCAACTCTAAGAAAATTATACCCTAATGAACTTGCTTGAACAATCTCATCAGGTTCCTTTGTTAACAAGCTGACTAATTGTTCCTGGCTGTAAGTTACAGTCAGTTAAATACACTTCTCTTTTCCACCATCACCTTTGGCAGCTGCCATTTCTGTTTGACTTCCTTTCTTTTTATCCACCAAATAACATAAATATACCTTTGACATAGAGGCTTTCATGTATATTTAAAGTCCATATTTGCTCAAAATATTTAATTGCAGTATAGTTTATCCCTATCATGTCTCAAAACCTTTTGTAGCTAAATCTGTTTTGCCTTAATTAAACAAACACATGATCTACCTTAGAGTTGGCTTTTCACCAGTAATTTTTTAAACAGGCACTTAACTGTGAAGTCTGATCTCTGTACATGATCACAGCTCAGCCTCATGTCTTCTGAATAAAGGGAATTAGATGCGGTAGTCTTTCCTGCACTCAGTTCTGTGGAAGGCACTGGGAACTATCCGTTGACATATCTGTTGACAAAATGAAAACTGAAGTACAGAGAGGCTTCTATACGGACTCATTTGTGTCTGCTTATCTAGTTTGGCGAATTGTAGGCGCAGTGGGAGAGCACTCAGCTGCACATTAGAAGGGAGGAGGTGCTGGGATGAGGGCTGCCTTTGACCTTACCTTTCATAATTTATTCTATTATATAGTCTACTTATGTCCTGTTAAAAACGGTCCTCTGACATTTGCAATAAAAAGCTCAAAGAAACTAGCAGCTTTCTATTAAAACAAACTAATTTTGCCTCTCTAGTAGCTTTTGCATTTTCCATTCTAAAATTTTATTTCAACAAGACTTCAGATTTACAAAGCATTATTTCAGGACTAATACCAAGAAGAGCGTGTTCCCATTCTCAGTGGTACAGAAAATAATTCATGTTCTCAGGGTGTTACCTTTTCCTCAAAAATTTCAAAAGTATTTTATAGGTCTTATCTTATTAAAGGAATCCTGACAATCCAGCAGGTGAATAGGAGATAGTTAAGGTCCAGAGGCAAAGAGATTAATGATAGAGCGGGGGGAAAAAATCACTCTGCTTCCCTTTCTTTACTTTTCCTCGTTGACTTCTTCCAACCATATGAGGGCCCCACCACCACCTCCTGCCAGCTTAGCCTTCTGTTCCTTGGACCATGGCTGCCACAGCCTGGTTTGGGCTAGTGTAGGACTTACTTTGTTCTGAGCTGTAAGTTAAATACACAAAGTAAAATACCAGTCGCAGGGTTAAACTGATTTACTTATTTGAGAACATTTTAAAGGATCAGGGGTAAGGTTAAGGGAAAATCAGAACACAGATAAAACCTGATGATTAATGTAAGTTTATTTTCATTGTTATTAATTAAATAGATTTGAATCTAAAGATAAAAATTCCCAAGGGGTTGGGTCACTTTACTAATAAGTAACATAATAGTTTGTCCCTAAGAAAGCATCATTGTAGCTCATCCTTCCTTGAGCTTTTTAATTAGGTTAATGGCATCAGTTTTGTTTCAAAGGACAATTTAATTAAAGTGTCAGTGGTGTTGCCTAGATAAATACTATACTGATGCTGACATGTTATTATGCAAATTAGTTACTACTGCTTGACCGATAGGGAATATTTATTTGATCAACAAGATGATGAGTTTTTGCTGAACCAGTTGTAGATTTTCACCTGACCAGCAGCTCCTTGAATTTGTTTCGCAAGGTATCTATTGAGTATCTTCTCTCCATAAGTCACTGTGCTAGGCATGTAGGAAATATGTAAATGATCAAGGGCTAATCATAGTACCTTTTTGAAATGTATAGCTTGGCTTAAGCATGTATTGTGTGGACTGTGGACTAGTTTTTTCTATTCAAAGATTAATGTCCGAATATGCATTTAGTCTGCAACCAAAGATCAAATTACCAGTGACTTTAAATACATTCTTCTCCATTTTAGAGGAACAATACACGCTAAGGAATGTCAAGACCAGAGAAACTTTGGAAACAAAATCATTTGGGGCACTGTTTTAAAACAAAGGCTAAATTCTCTTTCAGAGTTTCAGGGTTAAAAAGTTACTTTTTATCTCATCTTGTCTAATACTCTTATTTTAAAAGATTTAATATCTTATTTCTGAGGACCATCTAAGTTTTTCTACAGGATGATAAAAACTGGGTCTCTAATTCTCAGATCACTGAGAACTTAAAACTGTTTTTGATCTAACTTTAGGAATTCATGACCATTTTGGATCAGGTCGGGTTTCAGGATATTCTCAGCTAAAGGAAAGAGATAATAGAAATATTTAATTTTGGTTTTAACTGATTTTATGGCTAGGGCACCTCAGAAGGCCTGGCTCTTGTCTTGCTTCATGGTGTTTTATTATTAGCTATATGAATTCTCAATAATCCTCACTGCAAAACTCTAGCAAAACCTCAGATGAAGCCATCTACTTAGACTACAAGTCTTCCTTCCTATTTTCTCCCCAACACCATCCTCTGACATAATTTTTTTTTTTTTTTAATCAACCTAAGGCAGGCCATATAGAGGAATGAATTAAGGAGTAGTGTACAAAATGACCACTTGTGCAGAGCATGTCCTCACTGAGCTTAGCCACCCCAAGTTAGGAGAGAGAGAAGGAAGGAGAGAACAGATGAATAGATAGATGGAAGAACTTGATAATGACACATCCTAAGTCCCATTCTTACCAAATGAAAGAAAAAATGCAAGAACACATGTTGTATACTAACTTTTTAACACCCACTGACTCATGTTTAGTCATGACTGTGGCCTGAAACTGGAGGTACTAGGCTTGCAAGGGAAGCACAGCTGGAAGTCTTCCTTATTTCACATATCCATTGTATTCCAGCACTGGGGTAAGCAGGGAGTAGTTCTTAGATGTTTATACTTATTCAGGTTCAGGTCTCAAGTCCAGGTTTTGGGAAACATTCTTTGTATTTATGGGAACCCACAATCGTAGGACGGAGAACTGAACTAGCTGATAGTAAGGGTGCTCTGTTTCCTGAGGTCTATTATGATAGAGTTGGCAAGCCAAGGCATCTCATCAGTGTCTCAGCTGAGATATTATTCTATAGGATCATGTTGGAATTATGGAATAATACTCAATATACATTTTCAAATGGTAAGTACATTTAAAAGGTTCTGTTTTCTTGATAATTCAGAAATCAAATTTACGATTTTATTACTAGTATTAGAAAACTACCATTTGGATATAAAGGGGGCAACTCTCAATCCAAATAGTCTAAAAACAGGTCCTTTTTTGCATCTTATCTGGGGTCTCTAAATTGTATTACAAACTGACTTTGCTGGCTTTGACATGTTAAGAGAAAGAAGGAGATAATAGTAATGACCGAGGAAAGCTGCCAGTGTGTCAAGTTGCCAGTAAAGTATCCTCTCTGAAGTGGGTGACTAGAGCTGGTTCCAAACACCAGTGCTTTAGGAAAGCCAGAGGCCAATTCCATTCTGCTGGACTTATTCATATAACTGTCCTTCGTTGTGTTTTCAGAACAAATCAATATATTTCTATGGACCAAAGATGACACAGAAGAAGGTAGCTCAGAAATTGTAACCACATGATGAAATAAAACTTTTAGGAAGAAAGAACTTAGATTTGTAACCTTGGATTTTTAAGTTATAAAAAGGCATAATGATCGTGCATCTGTAAGAAGAGTTTTATCAACACTAGTGTCAGAAGGAGGAAAGAAGCTGCTGGCCTCAGGGAACAAACAGACCTGTGTTTATGAGGCTCTGTGAAGGAATGGAAGTGCTTTTGACCTCATCTGCCCTCCCTATAATAGCGCCTTTTCTTCTGGTTAATGCCCCAAAATCCTCTCTTGGAATTTTTTTCTTTTTAAACAGGGAGAGCCCAGTGGTCAAAGGCAATGCACTGTTGGCCTTAAGCAGCCTTGCTGTCATCGTATCCAAACATGAAGCCAGCCTCTCCTCAGACGCTGAGGGGGTCCTGGAGGTGAGTTAAGGGTGATTTGAACCAATAGGGCTTTGGTTGTGTCAACATTTGAAAAGTGAAAAGTCTCTGGAAGCCTGGCTCTGAATTTACGAGGTTAGAGTCTGTGATTACAACACCAAGTTATGCTCCTTGGTGGGACTTTACACTGTGAGTTTTAGAGTCTTCTGAGATTCTTTTCTTTGCAGCTTTTCTGTTTTGCTTTCTCCATCACCGTTAAGTGGTCATTTCAATATGAAGGTACCAATTTTATGCAACAGGGGCTGTCTTTTTGTGATTGCATCAGTGGTAACCAATCTTAGGAGGTTAACTAGGCTTACTGAAAGTGAACAATGCTGTCAAAAAATGATAAATAAGCAGTGTTTACTGACTGAAGAAAAATTGTACTTTGCATTTTAATTGTAGATGTCAATGACAAAGTGCCTATTCATTTTTGCAAGGCATTTATTTCTTAATTAAACATGTGGCAAGCTGGCCAATGTTCATTTCCAATGTACTTTTTCAGATAATTCATATCTGTCAAAATAAAAAGGCATGGATTTATTCTTCTTATAAGCCCCATTATCTAGCAGCTCTCAGTATCTGGACACGATATAGCAGAGTGGTTAAATACATGGGCTTTGGAGTAGTATTTAAATCCTAATACAGTTACTAGCTCCATGACTTCTGGTGGTAACTTCCTTTTCGGAGCCTGTTTTGCCATCTGTAAAATGGGAATAACAATATTTACCAGATACAATTATTTAAGGATTAAATAAATTAATATATGGAAAGCACAACAGCTGGTAGATACTATCCACTCAGTAATAGTTGCCATCATCATCAGCGTCAGCATATACTCCATCACTTCTTGCTACGAAAACTGGACTTTATGTAATATTATTCAGCCTATCTCTGTCCCTACAGAATATTTTATGGGCCATCTGTTCTGTTTTTTTTCATGGTGGGGTTGTTTTTTGTTTTGGGGGAGGGGAGGTTTTGTTGTTGTTATTTTTATCGTTGTTTTGATTGCAAGCAAAGAAAAAGGCTCTCATTTGAATAAAAAGGAACTAGGAAGATAAGGAATCTGGAAGCCCCTGAGATTGAAGGCAAAGCTTAAAAATTGGGTTTGGGGAAGAACAGTAACTAAGGCAACCTGGGGAGTCCAGGCACAGGTACTGGTGAGCCATCTCAGCAGAACCCCTCCCCCCACCACCACCACTGAGATGGATCAGCTCCAGTCATTTACTGTCTTTGCATCACTTGTTTAAGATTCAGAGTCCTGTGGGTCCCATGGGTACACGTTGGGTGGGATGGGACAGGTAGCTTGTAGCTTGTTTGAACATTTTACCAAGCCTTCAAATCAGGAAGGAAAGAATTCCCCAAAGGATGTTATTACCAGTAAATGAGAAGAGATACAGTGTGGCAAAAGCTACATATGTACATTACATGCGAGGAAGAGAAAGAGGTCAAGGGGTTATAGCACGTAGGATAAAAATGTAATTAGTTACTACATGAAAATTTAACTTTAAGCCCAGAATCTTTTTTAATGATGAGAAAAATGAAATTCTTTCTAGAGAAGAAATAGAGCCATGCAGCTTTACAGGTAGTTCGCCCCAGTGATCACTAGGGGTCTAGCTCAGAGTTTGAATTCTTACTATTCTTTATTTCTCTGCCTTTTTGTTTTGCACGGTAACACATAGTACACAAAACATTGAGAAGCCACACAACCCAGAGACGGAGCTTCGCCTTTACCCTTAATGACCTTGCCTTTGACTGTTGCTCAGTACAAACACAAGATCTCATTATTTGATTAAAGTTGAAGTTTTCAAACTTCATTCAAATCTGCATATGACCAGCAACTAAAGATCTTAATAAAGCAGCCTCGTTTGATTCTAGGAATTAATTCCAAGCAGATAGATACTTAACACCGAATTGATCTTTAGAGTTCACACCACGCACCACATGTGAGTTAACGAATGCTTTAAACATCCATGGTCATGAATGATTTTTAAAATCAAGTTCTCTTTTTAATGAGTTGGGTTTAATTGTTGTTTTATTTGTTTTTTTTTTTTTTTTTTTGTTTTGGCTGCTCCTAAGGTACAAAATTACATTGGTACAAAATCATATTGGCAGAGGTAGATGCCTTCACCAAAGTGGCATATATTATTTCTGAATGGGAGGACTATGTAGAAACATTTTACCTCTATGGACTCCTAGCCACTTTGTCTACCCATTATAGAAACAAAACTCTATTCGGACCCTTCCATCCATATCTGTCTATTTATTTATAGTAAATCACAGACACATCGCCAGATAGATAGAATCTTACAA